AATTTAGTCTATTTTGAACCTCAAATAACAGATTTCACCCGTTTTTAAATAAGTGCAACATGACAAATTTTACATTTTTTTTTCATTTACCGGAGTTTTATTAGATGATTGATAGTATGCTTTATAGAGATACCCCTGTTACATGTCAAATTTTACAATATTCACATACACTACTTCGACTATGCTTTATTAATATATTATGTAGTACGTAGTAATAAATTATTTTTTAAAATTATTTTTAAATTTGTCTCATTGTAAATTTTCAAATTCTGATTTTTTTTATTTTTTACTAATAGAGATTAATACTCGCTCCGTCCTTAAATTATCTTTCAAATTTCCTTTTTCGTCTGTCCCAAAATAATTTTTTTTTCTTTTTTGGCAAAAAATTAATGTAGGGCTCTGCGGCTAGTTTTTATTCAATAAATCCAATTAGTACACGTGATGTTTTTACTTGGATTGAAATTTGTTGATCTGGTCTGGTTTGAACCGGTCTGGTCTAAATCGATCTAGTCTGGTAAATGTCTGGTCTCTGTGTGTTTTATAACTTCGAAATTCAAGTGTGCTTTGGTCTGTTTAACTCTGATCTGGTCCGGTCTGATCTGTTTAAGTCTAATCCGGTCTGGTATGGGACAGAAAGCAGTCCAAATAAAAACATCCATACACGACATCTAAATCTATTACTTTCTAAAAACACCGGTATAGCAGCCTGATGCGGTGGTGCCGCCGCCCGTGAACCAAGAAAAATCATACATAGTATTATGTCTCATTTTGATTCAATTCGATTTGGATTTGTGATGTTCTAAGATTATATTAAAATTTTATTGAATATTTTAGTTCGGTTCAATTTTATTCCGTTTTTAAGAATTTAGTGAAAATTCCGTACACATCACTGGTGTATCACGTTTTTAAAGAGATACCTTGGTTGTATTGGCTGATTCTGTTAATTTATGAAAAAACTACATTTAAAATATATTTATTAAGAAAATGAATAAAAAATTAATTATATGAAAAAATAACTAAAATGATCACCTACGGTAATTTCAACCAATTCAATCAGAAAAATAACTTCAAGTGGATATTTCCAATGAATGCCTCCATTCTACTATTATTCTCCTCATTTTGGGTTTTGATACTAGCCACGTTTTTAGTAAGCAACTTCATCATCTCCTCCATAGTAGGTTCTTGGGATTGCCCAAATTTAGATACTCTGAATTGAGGTTAAAAGGACTTCCCCCACCTTGTGGTTTCCATAAGTAGTTTTGATTTCACCCTTGATTGTTGTTGTTGTGGTAGTTATTCCTTCGATTCCTCCCTCCATATGAATGTATGTAATTCACATTGATGAATAATTGATACCCATACTATAATTTAGGAGAGATTGAACAAGAAGGAGAAAGAGATAGTAGTGTATTATGAGTGAGTTTGTGACCTAGGTTTACAAGCCTCCTATAAGGAGTATATATAGGGAAATCCGGGTCTGGGCCTTTAATGTGAGCCAAACACACCCGATTACATAAATGGACTAATAGTATAAAAAGCTAATCTAGTACATACAATGAATATGTAAACTACACAGTAATATAAATATTAATTGCTAGTGTACGTGAATCGCTGTCCAGGCCCAATAGTCGACATGTCGGGGGGTCGGGGTCCATATACTCCATCAAGAGTCCCCCACTCCCTGAGCCGAGAGTACACGATGTGAAAGGGAGTAATCCACAATTGTATCTGCAACGTTCTTCTGTCTTTGGTTTCTTCCTCTTCGGTCGGGGGACCACCACCCTTGTCCATGATGAGGAGGTGCTTCGTTAAAAACCTTTACTAGGAAAAAACTGAGTGAGAAAAAATCCTAAGGGAAAAAGAATACACCTAGCGCCCCCACCATGAAACAAGGAAGGTAAGTTCCCTCCGACATAATCAGCTTTCGTTCCTGCTCATGTGTGATATTTTCTGCTCATCTAGAAACTCTGACCCCTCAGTCCCCCAGTCCCCCACTCCTTGAGGTGAGTGGAGATGAGGTGAAAATGAGTAAAGTCATCTTTGTACCTACACGTTTAACATACATATAAATTTTTTTCTTGGGGTTTATGTTTCCGATCAGGAGTTCATCACTTGAAAAAAGTGGAAATGTGAATTTCTAATGTAATGATAAAATACTTAGTAGTTAGTAGAGCGGATGTGTGAGCCATTCGTAAGCAACGGTCGTCACTCGAGGAATGACTAAGACCGGTCTTCGTGTCTGAATTGGTCAGGGCTTTGTGCCTGATCTGGGTCAGGACTTTAAATCCTAGTGATGGGTCTCAAGTCACATTCTACTAGGCATTTGATCATAATTGTGGGATAGTTTAACATTCGCCCGACAAAAGAAATTATTTAAATAATATAAATAATATGAAAATTAAAGAGTACTTATCTTTTGATGGGCTGAAATATTAGACTGTGTTGTTGAAATCCAATCCGTTGACAAACTTTTCCAAAGATAGTTCAGCCACTCCAGCCGGTTGATTTTCACTTGGCCCACATGCCTTTAATCCTTATACGACGAGCAGATCCTCCTAAACTTGGAGATGACCATTGACCATGCCAGCCTAACCGTTCTCTGGTGTCGCTGGAAATGGAGGCGAGGGAGAGGCGCGGAGCAATCTTTTGACGACCTCAGCCGCCATGCCTTGTTGGTCCTCACGCACGGACGTCACTGGTTTGGAACGCTGGGAGCTTGGAAATATCAACAGTATCGTGGTTCGTCATCGTCGGAGAGTGGAAGAGGGTTCCTCAAAATGGTGGGTCGATTCCAGCGGGGCCGCAGCTTGGGTCCTTCGTTCAGTCACTAGAACGAATCTGTCCGGCTGCTAGGGTGTGTTGGGCGTCAGTTACGACTTGGAGCAGTTGCTAGTGATGTTCAGAGGGGCTGGATCTGGAACAGCGACCACAAGATCTGGACGACGATCCTTCCACGTTAGTGGTGAAATCTGGGGCAACCAGAGATATTACTGCGCACGACAGCTTCCAGGACGACGATGACAGCTCTGGCTCAGGAGACTTCCAGATCTGGGCCTACTGGAGCAGCAGTAGCGAGCATCAGCAAACTGCGCATGGCGGCAACTCCGCGGCAGGCGAGATCTGTGAACGCGTGGACGCGTTTCTACTATGGCAGCGTGGCTGACGCTGGCTGACGGTGCCAACGCCTCCACCATAGTTTCTATATTTTTTTTCGACTTTTTTTGCTCAATTTTTTGTAATTTTGGGGGGAATCTTTGGTTGTTTTTGGGAGGTTTTCTCACTTTATTGTGTTCAACCCTCTCAATGAGAGAACCATTTGATGGATAATTGATATCCATACTATAATTTAGGAGAGATTGAACAAGAAGGAGAAAGAGATAGTAGTTTATTATGAGGGAGTTTGTGACCTAGATTTACAAGCCTCCTATAAGGAGTATATATAGGGAAATCTGGGTCTGGGCCTTTAATGTGGGCCCAACAGACCCGGTTACATAATTGGACTAATAGTATAAAAAGCTAATCTAGTACATACAATGAATATGTAAACTATACAGTAATATAAGTGTTGTCTGCTAGTGTACGTGAATCGCTGTCCAGGCCCAATAGTCGACATGCCGAGGGGTCGGGGTCCATATACTCTATCACACATATTCAAGAGTTTGAAGTAAATTTCATTTTGATTGTGAAATGCTCTCCATATGAATGGAAACATGAAGGTTTTGGCATTTTTGTTTGAAATTCCTCAAATCGTTTGTCAAGTTCATGAGTGATAGAGACTTCACTCACACCGGATTAAAGATTTGACGTCCCCTCCTTGCAATTAAAGATTTGAGGCAATGGATTCAAATATTCAGAATTTCTCCACTTCATTTTTATTCCCAAAATATCCTTTCGCTCAATTGTCTATGATAACTTGATAAGATGGGTTCTCCAACTTGTTTGAAATTGAAGATTCTTTGTCATAATTCGTATGTCATGGTGGGAGTGTAGTATCTACAGATGAAGGCATTGTAGATACCTTCCCATGTAGTATAAATTGTTGGTATACAAGTACCGATGTAGAACTCTTAAAAACAACTTCAAGTTTTTCAAGTGTTTCAAAATTTTTATAGAATTAATTCCACTTTTGGTCACACGAGTATCGCACCAATTCCACAATTGGTCCATGTCTTTAACTTTGGCCACTTTTAGTACTTGAGTATTGTGTTTTCGTCCATATATGGTCCTTCCGTCAATATTTCTGATGGTTAAAATCACCGGAAAAGGACCACAAATGGTTAATAAACATTAATTAGTCAAGTACTAAAAATGGACAAAGTGAAAGATGTGGACCAAGCATTTCAACTCATCTGGTAGTGACTTGTGAGATTACTGTGCCTAGCGAGAGGTCTCGAGTTCGAAACCCGCTAGGCACATAAGGGTTTGGAACTCAATGGAATGAGTTTCAACCCTGATTACTCCAGGCCCCCCAACCCCCCTCCCCCATACGCCCCCTGAAGTACAAAAAAAACGTGGACTAAATGTGAAATTGACATAAAATTCATAGGATCAAAAGTGAAATTAATTCTGTTTTTGTATGCTTGCAAGTCAAGTTCGAGATAGAATTCTATTATTCTATCGAGCTCGAATTCAAGTTTTTCAAAATTCTTCAAACTCAAGGTCAAGTATAATTCTTCAAATGTAAATTCAAGCTCAACGACTCGAGTTTGACTCGACTGGAATGCACTCCTAGTTAAAAGAATCCCTTTTTGGTAAACAGAAGCTCATCGGTCGGTCAAACAAACAAAGAGAAGGTCAAAGGTCAAGGTTTGTGCGGAACCATTTAGACTTGATGATTTTATTTGAACGGTACCTGTTGGGAACTCCTATATATAACCCATCTCCATTTAGAAAATGTAACTTCAACTTTTGGCACTCTGATACACTAAGCTCTCATACACTTGAGTCTCAAATCTCAATTCTTATGTCTAGAGTAATTCTTAATTTTCATTCATATTTAACTTTGATTCATTTTATTTAGTTATTAGAGTCTTTGAATGTTCTATTCTGACTAGAACTAATGCTAAGTAATAAACAAAAACAAGGTGAACAGAACAATATCTAACCCAGAATGCCGTTTAAGCGCAATCACGAAGTAATAATCATTTTGACTTAATTTCATAGTTTGAGTATCCCACACTTGAAATATGGTATGGTTAAACAAGTACTGCAGCATTTCATTTCTTGATGCTCTGACTTCATGTTTTGCACATTACCAGGGCATGGGAATACAAGCGAAATGATGAAATAATAATCTTTAGTCTCAGAGGAACACGGTCAGATGCTTGTATCATTCTTCCCAAGTTCCCGTTTCTTGGCCCGCTCCATCTTCCGTTTACGCCACTCTTCAAGAGCTGAATGTTCCCATAAATAGAAAGTCCATCAATTGATGGGAAACATGTAATGCTGTTAGTATCTTAGATACCCAATTGAATCGTGACTATTACGATAGCCAACACATTGCAAATTGGAACAGGGTATATATTACACTGAGGTATTTGACGTCTTTAGATAGTATGACATCACTCCTACTTTGTGATATAAACAGAGGTGCTCCTATTTGTGAATATGGCCATTGTTTTACTCTCATCCGTCATAATTTCTTTTAACTTGATTAGAAAAGCAAAGTTTACACTCCAAATGAACAACTGAGAAAGTGAGAAGTTAACTAATTGACATATATGACTTCACTATGGAGTCAAATAGACATTGTGGCCACATAGTAGTCATTTATTTTTATATTGGAGGGTTTACTTTAAAAATGAATGATTGCACTGAGGCCACATATTGTCATATGACTTCATAGTGGATTCATATAGGGCACCATAAAGATTTCCCTAGCAAGGTAAAAAATAGCTCTAGTATTGAATATGTACAATGGTTGGAATACATATTGTCATATGTTGGAATACGCATATTAGCTCTTGTATTGAATATGTACAATGGTTGCACTGAGGCTACATATTGTCATAGCTCTTGTACTTTAAAAAAGAATGATTGCACTGAGGCTACATATTGTCATATGTTGGAATACGCATATTAGCTCCTGTATTGAATATGTACAGTGGTTTGCATATATATAGGAGTATGAGCTTTTATATACTCCGTATATGTTTGGATCATAGGAAATGCTAGGGAATGGAAAGAATTGCAAAGGAAACTTATTTTCTTTTTTTGTGTTTGGTTTACCTTGGTGAATGCGAGTGAAAAAAGAAAGATTATGATTTTAAAGTTTTACATATACTTAAATTTCATAGTCTCCATATAACAAACATAAACATATAAAATGAGCATTAACAAATATTTAAAACGAATTTTAACCTATCTTTTATATTCACCTACATCCCCTTGTAACTTTTTTGTATGCTTTCCTCGCTTTTTTTCCTAGTATTTTACGGGGTCTAAACAGACACTTGGAGACGGGGTGAAAAAGGTTACTGTCAACACATTGTGTGTGGTATATACATTACCTTTTATGCCGCTAGCATCAGAATAAGAACGGAAGTTGTTTATCCTAGATACCAGGTTTACTGCAGCACCTTGCTTTGCATCCTTATGTTCAGCTGGTTCTGCTTCAGTGTATGCTTCATTTTCAATTTCCTTCACCTGATAAATTAGCAAGTATTTCTAATTCTAAGTCTCTCTTATTTAAAGAAGCCAGAATTACCTATGGTAAGTAGTCCCTTATCAGTATACAATTAGGCTATGTTTGGGTCCTAGAAAAAGCTACTGAGAGGGGGAAAATGCCAACGAAGATTGTTTTCTAATTATTAGTTTTTTTACATATATTTAGGTTTCTTATACTTTACATGATAGGCATAAACAAATGAAACGAGGATCCACAAGTATCTAAAGTAAATTAATTGAGTTTTGTCATTTCTTTCCCTCACCCCACATCGTCTTCCCTCCCAATTATTATATTCCTTCAATCCCCCCTACTATTACTAGAGTTTATTGTTTTTTTACATATACTTAGGTTTCTAGTCTTGATATAATAGGCATAAAAATAAAATGAGTATCAATAATGAACTACAATAAAAAATTTGAGTTTTATCTCATCTCATCCATCACTCCACATCTTCTTTCCTTCCAATTACCCTCGATGGTTTCCTTCCTCCCCCTCCAAGGTATCTCCTTTTATCCAAACAAACCCTTAATACCAGGAGATGAGAGTAATGTGGCTATAAAACCACACTTGTACTCACTCTTTTAATTAGATCCACAGGCAACATTGCAAGACGAATCTCTTCAGATTCCTTAATATACCTTTCAACTGCGCTTCAAAGTATGCACAATCATTAGTTAACTCCTAAGTATATCCTAAGTATATTAGTAATTTCTCACAGTGGAGCAAAAAGGGTTTAAACAAATAATCTCAAAGATATAGATCCTGAAGTTGAATACTCCATGCCAAAGAAGACCTTATAGTTCTTATCTAGATATCTTTTGCATATGTTTTCTCCCATTAATTTGCTGTTAAGGGTGAATCAGGTAATTGCATACCTAGTCTCTGCCCAATCTTAATATTACATCCACAATCTTGCTTAATGCTTACACTAAATCCAATCCATCACAAACTCAATCTCTTAAGAAACAAATGCTAAGAATGGTTATTTTCTTGGATTTAGGTCTACACTTTTACCTGATAAAAAAGTAAAGCAAGATGAAATACGATTAGTGTTGCTAATTTCAGTAATGTTTAGATTTCGTATTTTTTTATAATAAAAATAAAAAGGATAACATGAGATTGAACAAATATTAGGAATACATTTTAGAGAGTACGAATGCCGGAAATCTTGTTATAAAGTAAAACTCAAAAAACAGGGGTAAAAAGAAGATAGAGAACCCAAATCATGTTCTTGGAACCTTAACGGCGATTGAGAAGAGAGGAAGGAATTACTGAACCTGACGTAGATTTGGTGGAAGGGGAAGCAGAAAAGAAGAAATTTTGAAGCAGGAAAAGGGCGGCGATAAGGTTGAGCGAAGAGACCAAAATTGTCGCGTTCCTGTACGACCACCTTAACTTCTTCCACGAGGGCTGCTGCTGTAGTTTTTCCATGTCCACCCTAGTAATGATTTGGAAGAGAAGATCAGTAAAGTCATCGATAAAACTTGAATGGGAGGTTTGTGTAATTGTGTCACTCTACAAGTCCGTATATTGTACATCCATGATCCATTCGGGTCACGTGGGTTGTGCATCTAGAATTTAAGGGTCACACATGACAGTTCTACAAATGGAATGAGTCCTTCCTTATCAACAACAAACACATTTTTTAATTTTGCTTTTAGCTGTGATCCAAAGTCAACAGCTTTTTCATTAAATGGATTTTCTTTTATGGGCTCTGACGTAGCCAGTATTATCTTTGCAGTGGGTCTGGTTCTGGGAACCCACTTTGCAGTTTCAGTTTTAGTAGGTCCGTTTTTAGGGACCCACTTAGCAGTTTGAGTTTTAGTAGGTCCATTTTTGGGGACCCACTTTGCTGTTTCAGTTGTGGTAGTTCCGCTCTTGGGGACCCACTTAGCAGTGACGGTTTTAGTGGATCCGTTCTTGGGGACCCACTTTTGATTGGCTGTGGGAGAAGTATAGACTTTAGCTATGTGATTGAATGGTTGTTTGGTGAGTTGGGACTTAAAAATTTTCTCTCGAGAGAGTCTGTTCAAATGTTTCTTAGAGTGAACTTTGAGGGATATTTTAGGTTTGGAAGACAGAAAGTTCCCTCAAAAGTTCTACTCTCATTTTGTTTTATTTGTTTGACCTCTGTCCGAGGTTGCACCTGAACAACATTCACATCACATTCGTAATTATGGGGTCGGGAACAGAATAACCATAGGCATCAGTTGAATTATAAGAAGGGCATTGTTCAAAAGACAAAACAAGATTTTTCCAGCTTGGGACTCAAGGCTTAATTCCTGACAGAATGTTTGTTTGATGTAGAGCTACAGTTTTTCTTAGAATAAAAAATGGAACTTGAGCAAAAATTAGTCTTCTAGTCTTGAAAAGCTTTCTTCTTTCCTTCAGCAATTTCATTCCTTTTCAGCCTCCACTCTTCCTTCTTCCATCTCTTGTTCACTTGTTGTCCTGTGGACAAAAGAGAAGAGGGATGAGTGGACGTTTCTTTTGAAAAATTAGTTTGGTTAGGAGAGATGTGAGTTTCCTTTTGCGATGTACTAGAAGTGGATTGAGAAGTTGTTTTAGAGTGGTACTTAACGCTCAGTTGGTTAAATTCATTTAAGAGTGTTTCCCAGTTACTCTCAAAATCTTTCTTTTCTGATTCAAACCTTTCTCTCTCATTTTCTAAGGGTTTCTGAAGATCTTTGAGCTTTTGGGCCATTGGAAAGATACAAGGTTCCTTTCCAATTTTAGAAATATCCCCGAAAGTGAAAGCTCAAACACCACTGTAAGTACCTCTGACTCTCATTGTTCCTGCTCTAATCAAGGTCAATTCTTACAGAATAAGGATGACACAATTAAAGACCTTAGGGAGAAGTTAGACAATAATTACAAAGCCTTTGTTGAGTGTCTTGACCAGAAGGCCTCTTTGAGCATACAACTTGAAAATGAGAAGCAAGTTGCAAAAAAAGATGACACTCGAACTTGATGAGTTAACACTCAAGGTTGTTGATCTGACTGATAAAGTGTTTCAAACTGAAATAGAGCTAAGTACAGAAAAAACTGATAAAAATGTTCTTGACAATCAAAGAAATACTCTCTTTTGCAAAATCAAAGAACTTGAGGATTTAATTGCTATAAGAGGTCAATCTGGACAAACTATCTTTTTAAAGCAAATTAGTGATGACCGGTATTATAATCCCAGATCCAGGCTTGGCATGTCTAATTCATGCTATCTAAAGAAAGTTTATTGCATTCAGCTTTATAACTTAGATCACATGAGACTAGGATATGTTCAAAATGCATTATACCGATGAAAAGGAAAATTCTGAAGAAGAAGAAGAAGAAAAGAGAAACAACCCAAAAGCTGAAATTTCTTACAATTATATTGATTTAAATAAAAAAAGTCTCACAGGTAAAGGTCAAGAATTTTCAACTAATGAATGTTTGGATCTTTATGCTGTTGTGAAGGATGTGCCACACCTGAGACATCCCTTAGACCCACTTCATCATTTGCTCCTTTAGAAAGATCGAAGTGAGGTGAGAATAGACTCGGCCGTAGGGAGGGGGGCTATTTATTGTACTATTTAGCGTTTGATATGACCTTTTAGAAGATATATTGATAATCATGATTCCTTAATGAATGACCTTCCTCCGGCTTTCCCTTCGTTTGTTGATTTCAATTTATGAATGTGCTCTGGTTCTGTGTAAAAAAAGGTGATTCAATCCACCTGGTGTAGTAGGCATGGCAATGGGTCAAGTCGGGCGGGGCGGGTACGGCAAGACCCAGACCCGTCCCGTGACTTGACGGGGCGGGTCCGCCCTGCCCTCGTGACCTGCACGGGTCCAAACTTGTTGACTCACGACCCGCCCCGCTCCACCGTAACCGGCCTAATTAGCTAGTACTCTCTCCATCCCGGTCATTTCTTCCGATTTTGACCGGTATCGCAAATTAAGTTAGTGAGAATAAAGTGAAAATGTATGGTTGTAGTTGTGTAACCCCCCTAAATTTTCCGCCCAAAACATTGATATATTTAAAAGAAATACTTTATTCATTCATCAAAGAGTTGAAGAAATACAGCGGAAGTCTAAAAGGGAAATGAGTGTTACCGCCACATTCGGTCATCTCTTAACCGAATGCACAGGCAACTCAAAGTAAAACAATAAAAACTAATGTAATAATAAGTAAATGTTAATTTCATGACTAGATTTAACTAAGACATCTTCTAATTCGCACTCAAGCTCGAGCAATCCATCAATCCACATAGGCATCCAACTCATCACCTGATAAAATTTAAGGGAGAAGAGAGAGACAAGAGAAATAACAAAAATTAGCTTTAGAGCTAAGTAAGTAATACCCAACCCCGTAAAATAATCAAGTTTGACTAAAAATAGATTTTTATATCATATCATATAAAAATGACGCACTCCAACAAAATACTTTTCTCTTTGATTTTTCTTAAAATTACTTCTTTACTAAAATCTTAACCTTCTCTTGGAAAATCTCTTAGTACTTCTTCTCTTTAAACTTCTTAAGAAAATCACTTTGTAACTAACTTCCTAGTAATTTAGAAGGGCGGTGCTTAACCTTTCAGTAGAGCCCGGTGGACCGTGGTTACGGACGGCCACCCCGAACAAGTGCCGGTACCACAACTGCTCTGTTGGAAACGAAACGACTACCTTAAGTGTGCACACCCCCTAAAAGGGATTCCAAGCCCTCCGAGTAGTAAGTCATCCCAAGTGGTCGGAACCCAACCACCCCAATTCTAAAATTCTTGAATGATTAGGGACTACTACTATAACTTCTTCTTAAAAGGGATCATAGATCCAAATCTCACTTAAAAGGGATCATAGATCCAAATCTTACTTAAAAGGGATCATAGATCCAAATCTTACTTGAAACTTAAACTGTACTTCTTAGTAGTAGTAGCTCTAATCACCCTCCACATTTATCCGGATGTGGAAAACCGACACCTCGGATTACTCCCGAGATGTTCACTTCTTATGAAAATGTAAATTTTATCTTCGCTTAACAATACTTCAAAAACACTTCTTAATTTCTCTAAAAAGTCTCGAAGGTATTTAAAAAAATATTTAATACCCCAAAAGTACTTGATTTATATTTCTTAACTACCATATATATAATATCTCCTCAAAATCACATACACCAAATTCACAATTCACACTTAATCACATAATGCATAATAAGCATATAATACGAGGAAACAAATTTTGGATTGGCAGAGAAACTTACCTTAAGTCCTGATGCTCCTAATTCTCTTCCTCAATTCCGGTCTCTAAATAATCATCTTTTTAATTAAATATGATAAAATTAGTCACTTATTCTATTTGTAATTAATTTACCCGATTTTCTCCTTTTATTTTATTATTCGAATTTATTAACTTAATTTATTTAGTTATTCGAATTTATTTGATTAATCACTTTTTATTAATCAAATTACCTTTTTAATTCTGCCATTAATTACAATATTTGAATTCTAATATTAAATAAAATATCCAAATATAATTAACTACACATTCAATTTTTTATTCAATAATCACCATTAATTTACTCTACTCATAAAATATTATTTAATTACTTTATTTATATTAACCCATTAATTTATGAGTTTAAATATTTTAAATATTTATATGAAGTCCGAATCTCTAATAATAAGTCATAAAAATTATTAATTGAATTAATCCACTAATTACATTATTAAGTTATTTATTAAGTCTACATATAGTCAATTATTTATGCTAGCTAACCCAACCTTATTTTATTTTACTTATTTTATTCCAAACATCATTTTTAGTCCAGAATATTATTTTCAATCTCAGTGATTTATTTATTTCACCATTAATACTAATATTTCCTTATTTAATTACTTAACTAGTTTTATATGGCCCAATTAAATTAAAGAGACTAAGAATCGACTTTATAAATTAATATCCGTCTATAACTATATTTTTGGGTCTATATTTGACCTAGGTTGTCCAGATATTTTTTTATAATTATTTTCCATAATTATTCATTTAATTTCATATATTTATTAACCGGTTTAATTATAATTAAATATACTAAATATTTATTTTTATTAATTATAAATGGTCCATAAAGTCCTAGTTAGTCATATATTTATCCTAGTTTACTCCAATATTTATTTCACAATTATTTTCGTCATTTAGTTAATTATTTACTAAATGTGTATAAATTGGCCCAATTACAATTAAATCAATTAAAAATAGCTAAAAATATTATCTTTCAATTCTGGTTGGTCCGAATCGTATATTTATACTAGGTGTTTAATTTATATTTTTCCAGATATTATTTATTTTATTTACTATTTTGTTTTTAATTTTTACTGAAATTGGGCCGGGCTGGCCCAAATTATTTTAATTCACAGGCCCAAAACAGCAGTCCAGCAAATCAGACCCCAGCCTTTAGGCTGGGTCGTCTTCTTCGCAAGGACGCCGGAAACGAGGCCAGAAAAAAACGCAGAAGAGCTTACCTCAACGACGCGGCCAAAGACGGTGGTGGTGCACTCCTGATGGACGGTAACGGTCGGTGA